TTGTATATATTACTATATAGGCAGCGCATCAACGCTTCAAGAGATGGTGAATGTCGCATCTAAATATGTCCCAGCCAAAGGGCTCAAGTGTCAATTTGTATCAGTGCCGTCTACACTCGCGCTGAAAGATCACTTAGTTGGCATTGCTGAAAGCATAAAAAAGCATCAGCCAACTCTTATCAGGGGTTAATGGACGAACAATTTTCACAATTTGGATTTCTAAGGATTGTTCGATTTGCCTCAATTCATTATTCTGGCGGGGGCACACTCTTCTTATGATACAATAAATGCATTATAATAGGATTGCCTGCCTCAATTAAACAACTATAAGCTCCCTATTCCGTCAAAGCTTTATGCTGCTAATCACTATATTTAAAATTTCTCGATAAGTCGGACGACATATATAAACTCTCGTGTATCGCCACAAGCATTATGTCATGTTACTTACCGATCATTTGCTATGATAGAGAAGACCGTTCTTGTAATTTAAAGAAAACGTTTATACCTCATTACGTCATTGATAATCTAGAGACGTTCTTGTAATTTAACAAATTATTTATACTTCTTTATATAAAACAGAGAAGACGTTATTGCAGTGTAGGATATTCATTGATTGCGAAACAACAAGCTCCATTATAATGACGACGAAGATTGCTTAGAAAACATTCAAGTTTATTATTATGTATTGGTTGGCGTCGGCGAAATGTCCCATTTAAACAAGCAATAGTAATCACGTCTTTCGTTCTTTATTGGAATCATCTAATAAATCTATGTTCCGAAAGCAAATATTGGTCTCTTGATAAGTCGGACAGCCATGTGCCATTTATCGAGTTTGATCCTCGCTCCGATATTATCTGATGAGAAAAAACTAATGCTACCGTGTTTTATACCATAACAAAGTATAGCCTTTCTGGTTCACTATATAGAAACAATAATTCTACATTCTAATGACCGTATTAATCTTAAAAAATAATAATTTGTTTATTGGACCATTTGCTTTACATCTTTGAAGGTGCAACGGGGCATTCTTGATTATGCAAAGCCCGGTCGGCCCCCCTTCGATTATAGTAGGACTTGGAGTGGAAATAGCTAAGTAAGGTAATGAAGAAAGACATATTGCATTATATTCTTGCATATTTTGATACACATTGCAATTGTTGCGAAATAAGATACTGAAAAGGAAAGGATTATGGTTAGGAAGGAACTTTAGGTATTGCAAAGAACTTCTGTAAGATAACTCTTATGATGCAGCATCTATCATCTTGACTGGTTCAGCGTTGCCTCGCGCATTGAAAGCGGGCTTATATTACGCTACTAAACGGTGAGTGCAAACGCGCAATCACTGATGAAACTTGTAAACTTGACGTAAAATTGATTTATTATTAATGGTCTTGTAGAATTTTACGAGCAAGTAGAACAGCGGTACTTTAGATAGTAAAACAGTGACATTCCGGATAGTCAAAATGTTTGCTGTCTTATTATATGAGTTGAATTTATTGTTCAGAGGCAATAATCTTTCGTGTAGACGCGTTTGCCGGCAGGGAAATGTTCTACTTTTAGCTTCTAATTAACATGCGCTCTTTTTCAGTTGTTTCGAATACAAAATGCTGATATTTTTGTAAGCCGCTCAATTTTTTAAAGAAATTTTCCAATACAGAATTAAAATCTAAGTATTGAAAACCTTTTTCCTTTATCGTAACGCTGAGCTTTATTTAATCCGCCTGTACTCGATCTTTTCACAACCTCAACAATATGATCTATACTAATCTACCGTGTTTACCTCTTGTTATAAATGTTCATTTACCAGGTTCCTCTGTTGTTCTGTTAATTGCGTATTTTTGTTGTAATAGTAATAGTTTCTCTCTAACTTAGCCTTAATTAAATATTCTTTGTAAATCTTTTGCTTTTTTTTCCTTACGAGCATTATTGTAGGCCGTTCCGAAGATGTTGGCACGTGTCACATAAATCCGTTCGTGGACATAATTTGAATATAAGCCGTTAATGGTGCCATAACTTGCGGGATGCGTCATATTT